GAGAGAGAGAGAGAGAGAGAGAGAGAGAGAGAGAGAGAGAGAACCCCGCAGTGCTCTGAAGGTCCCATGGGAATAAATTTTGATTGTGGCGGCCACAATGCTGACAACGATAATGACCACCTTGTTGATGGTGATGGTTATACTCCTGTCGATAGTGACAAAAGGATTTGAAGGCATTACGATGCAGTAGTGATACTGACGACGGAGATGATGTCGACAACAATGACAATAATCATGCAATGACGGCCACCACAGTCATCAGCCGAGAGCACAAAGCACAATGATTATGGATGGTGATCGTGATGGCGGTAACATGGCCATGACTGAAAGACAATAACTTACGAGCTGATGATGACAATCACAACGATCACCTCCATGGTTATGATGATAATGATGATGATTCTGACGATAAAGATGACAATCACAACAATGCTGCTGCTGATGCTACTGGCATGCTGCTGCTGCTGCTGCTGCTGCTGCTGCTGCTGCTGCTGATGATGATGATGATGATGATGGTGACGCTGCTGCTGCTGCTGCTGCTGCTGCTGCTGATGATGATGATGATGATGATGATGATGATGATGATGATCATGCCTATGACAGAAACAATGCTTCACAAGGACAAACACATCGCTGTTGCGGCCTTACTGTACTTCACGTGCCCCTGCTTCTGTCATACACTTCAATTTCTCTGAGACGATGAGACCTGTAATGGAAGACAGCACCAAGGAAGACAACAAGCACAGTATTATTCAGAATCTTAGACAGTACTCATGAGAGGAATGGGAGGTGGATCGGAAAAGGGTTCGGCACCACCAATCTTTCTGGAGATTCTCACAGCCTCTTCATGTGTTCTTGAGACTCTTGTGTTGATTATTAACACTGACAAGATGATATTCACGACTTAATGGCAACCTTGCTCTCTCAGGACTCTGGGAACTTGGTGCTCACGGACTTAATCATGACCAGGGGAGGGACTGGGCCAGAGTAGTGTGTGCATCCTCCTCCTCCTCCTCCTCTCATTATCATCATCGCCGTTATCCTTGTCCTCCTCCTCCTGGTTGTCCTCCTTGTCCTCCTCATTCTCCACGTCTTCCGCCTTGTCCTCCTCATCCTCGTTGTGCTTGTCCTCATCCTCGTCCTCGTTCTTGTCCTCGTTGTGATCCTCTTCCTCTTCCTCGTTGTGATCCTCCTCCTCGTCCTCACCTTCTCATCCTTGTCCTCGTCCTCATCCTCATCCTCATCTCGTCCTCGTCCTCGTCCTCGTCCTCGTCCCCATCCCCGTCCCCTCATTGTCCTTGTCCCCGTCCTCCTCGTCCTTCTCACCATCATACTCATCATCACTGTCCTCATCATCATTGTCCTCATCTTGTCATCATCATCATCAGCAGCAGCAGCAGCATCGTGCAAGCCTGGCGTTAGGGAGGGTCCTCCTGAGAGTCCAGAGGCTGGGCTTGGGTAATTGTGTCTATACACAGATCATTATGAGTCTGGATGGTTTGCCAAACCGACCTCTACTGTCTTAGCTCAGACTCAACACATGCTATGGACAAGTCCCACTTGTGCCAAGTCTGTGCTAAGGATGAATGTGATTGAAGAAATGCCCAGGTTCATACTGATTTGGATCGACAATGCACCAGCGATGCCTTGACCTTGGGACCCGTGGATTGAGTCCGGAAACCTGTCCAGGTTCACGCCTCAAGGCCCATGCATGCAACTAGTCACATGCAAAGATGTCTTCATCGTTTTGAGACAGTGTACAATCCCCCAGACCTGGACCCCGGACCTCACTATGCTGCTCCATGTTCGCTGTCCCTTGCATCAACAACCTTGGAACGAGATTGCCTTCTACTGTTTACCCTTTCTTTCTTTCTCTCTTTCTTTCTTCCTTTCTTTCTTTCTTTCTTTCTTTGTTTCTTTCTTCTTTTTTTCCCATTCTAAAAGCTAGACTAGGGGATAGAGCAATCGGGACCCTTGCCTTTTGTTTTCATGTGAGGACAAATACTGACTTGTATCCATTTTCCACAGTTACAGCGTTCCTGTACATTTTTTTCTCTTTTTTTTTTCTTGTTTTTTCGTTGTTTCATTTTTTTTTCTCGTTTGTTTTTTCATTTTTCATTTTTTTTTCATTTTTTTCATTTTTTTCATTTTTTTTTTGTAGGCTACCAGAGTGGCCCGGGGTCATTTGCCCGGCCGGGCCAAAAAAAAGTGAAAAAATTAAAAATAAAAATTATGTTATATGGTGAAGAATTTCGATGTGACCCTGAGGCACAAGTTGTTCAGTTTATTTTTCTGCATAACTTAGTTTTTTTTTGATTTTTTTTTTTTTTTTTTTTTTTTTTTTTTTTTTTGCTGGGACCTTCCCTGGTCTTTGCACGGGTTGGCCAGCGTTTATCTAGGCGGCCCGGATGGTAGCCTAGCTTTTGTGCGTTATTTTTCCCTTTTTTTCCTGGTGTTTTTCATTTTTATCATCAAGGATTGGGAAGGAAAAAATAGCATCACAGGAGGAAGGGTAACTGTACATCCAGATCACTGTGGCAGGATCGTGCCGTCTCAAGAAAGTGGGAGACAAGTGATCTGTTGTGTAACGTTAGCGAAATGAATGGCGTGTGGAGGTCTACCGTCTTCCCCCTAGGCTGGAAATTGCCCCCAATATGGGCATAATGACCATACGGTGTATGCACATTCTGAAATGGTTTTCACCTTTGCAGCAGAAAACGTAGATACCAGGGCTCAATCCCTAGACCTTGCCGACCCGCGTGTTCGAACCCGTGACCTGTGTTTTGGTGGTTGTCTGTTGTCTGCCGCAGGTTAATGTGGTCGTCGGGTCTTGAACCGTAGGTCTGTCAAGTAGGGGTCGTAGCTGTGTAGAAGTAGTAGCTGCTGCAGTCTTGAAAGGTCAAGGTCGTAGCTGCTACAGTCCTGAAAGGCCAAGTCTACAGACTTCCGGAAGGTCCTGAAGTGACCTTCCGAGAATTGCTCAGGTTAAGCTAGAGGCAAGTGGGCAAGTGGGCAGTCCAACCTCCCCTAGTCAGCGGTACCCAGTCCCAGTCGCACTTTGTCCAGCCAGCAAGTACCATGTGGGACTGTGCACCCTGGGACCGGTGGAAAGGAGCAGACCAGCGACCAACCGAAGTATAAATCAAGCAGCAGCGTCCAGTCATTGATTCATTATGCATGTGAGCCGTGCGGAAGCGCTGCCTGAGCGTCTTGTGCAAGGAGGTCTGCAGGTGCCCGAGGGAGAAGTGGGCTGAGAAGAAGACGAAGCGGCCATAGCCGCTAGTTGGTAGGGAAGGTAGACGGCAGCCATAGCTTCCGTAGGTTAGAGATAGGCTATAGCGTGTATGTGTGCGAGTGTTCTGTGAAGTGTGTGCGCGTGTGGGACATCCAGGGAGATCCAAAGTAGCGTGCATGTGAACAGTTGCTGGGGATACAGTGTCCGAGGGGTGTTGTGAGGGCGCACAGGCGCCATAGCCATTCGAAGCAAGTTTGAATCTGAACTGTGTTCTTGGCCTTGATATCTCTGAGCTTTGGGTGGTCACCTGGCGCCAGTGTGATTGCCATCTGCTTTCATGCATGCTGAGTAAGGAAGACGTTGAGTCTGGTTGCAATTCTATTCGGGGGAAGACGGTATAGCCAGGAACCATTGCTGATTGCTGAATACGGACACTGCCTGGAGGGGAGGGAGGAAGCATGCGCGTTCAGGTTCTGGACCACCATAAGCGGACAGCCCAGGTAGTGGGAGGACAGACTAGGGAGTAGGAGGAACAGAACTAAGAGTATGGGAGATTCACAGTGTGGCCATGGTCCATAGGTGATCATCTTGGTAATGCATTGAGTGCTTTCTGAACATACCCCTACATTGTGTTAACATGCAGTTGAAGTTGTTGAACGGTTCATGCGCCACCATGTATGCTCCTTTGGCCTTCTTTCCCTTTCCACACTTTTTTTTCTTTTTCTTCTTAAAGATGCAATTGAAATGACAGAATTCACTCTTTATCACTTAACTGTATCCATTTCTGCTTTTGTTTTCGTGCAGTACTTTCGGAGGTTGTGCACGACACGTTGCTACAGTGCGCTGCATGTATGGTCGTGGCGTGTGTGGACAGATTGACGATCCATGACAAACTCTTTGACTGCTGACTGTTGTTGTGGTGTGGGTTGTGTTGGACACTACAGCCTTGAGGGGTGCGGTGGATATCACGACCAGCATGGTTCCACTTTTAACACTGTGTCCTGGCTACAGTGGTTAAGAGACTTGGCTCCTGAGGCCAAGGTTGCCGGTTCGAATCCGTGCTTACACGGAGGAGGGCTTTGGCCCGCTTGTGCGGATCTATGCACCAGATTGTGGAAGCACCCGTTAACCGCCGGGGAAGAATACACCGTTTTCGTGTTCGGGCTAAGAACCGATGGAAGGGGTCCTGTGCAGCAGAGCGGAATGAACGAGAATTGCCGCGTCCGTGTGGTGTTGTTGTGGTGTGGGTTGCGTTGGACACTACAGCCTTGCAGGGGTGGGGTGGATATCACGGTATAGTTCCACTTTTAACACCGTGTCCTGGCTGTCGTGGTTAAGAGACTTGGCTCCTGAGGCCAAGGTTGCTGGTTCGAATCCATGCTTGCACGGAGGGGGGATTTGGCCCGCTTTTGCAGAGCTATGCACCAGATTGTGGAAGCACCCGTTAACCGACGGGGAAGAATACCCCGTATTGGTGTTCGGGCTAAGAACCGATGGAAGGGGTCCTGTGCAGCAGAGCGGAATGAACGAGAATTGCCGCATCCGTGGGATGTGTCCGTGTGGTGTTGTTGTGGTGTGGGTTGCGTTGGACACTACAGCCTTGCAGGGGTGGGGTGGATATCACGACCGGTATGGTTCCACTTTTAACACCGTGTCCTGGCTGTCGTGGTTAAGAGACTTGGCTCCTGAGGCCAAGGTTGCTGGTTCGAATCCATGCTTGCACGGAGGGGGGATTTGGCCCGCTTTTGCAGAGCTATGCACCAGATTGTGGAAGCACCCGTTAACCGAAGGGAAAGAATACCCCGTATTGGTGTTCGGGCTAAGAACCGATGGAAGGGGTCCTGTGCAGCGGAGCGGAATGAGCGAGAATTGCCGCATCCGTGGGATGTGTCCGTGTGGTGTTGTTGTGGTGTGGGTTGCGTTGGACACTACAGCCTTAGAGGGGTGGGGTGGATATCACGACCGGTGTGGTTCCACTTTTAACACCGTGTCCTGGCTGTCGTGGTTAAGAGACTTGGCTCCTGAGGCCAAGGTTGCTGATTCAATCCGTGCTTGCACGGAGGAGGGCTTTGGCGCTCTTGTCTGGCTCTTTGCACCAGATTGTTGATGTTGAATGTCGAACGCGCTTCGCAGAACAGCACGATTTGACTCTCACCTGTTAACACTGTACCGTTAACTGTTAATCCTTGATTCTTGACTGTTGACTGTTGACTGTTGACTGCTGACCATCGTGGCACTTCTTTCCGTTTCCACACTGAACTGTGTCCATTTACTGCTTTTAGTGCTTGACCATCTTTCCCGTGCAAGCAGTTAAAAACGACCACCAGTACTTTCGGAAGTTCGGTTGTGCACGTTGCAATGGTGCGCTGGATGTACGGATCTGGCACGCGCAAACAGATTGATGATCCATGACAAACCGTCCGTCATGGCACTGTAGCAAAAGGCTGGCACGAGCATGGCCAAACTTCCCA